AAGCGACGTACATGTAAATGTAGCCGCCATTAATGCCATTTGCATTCTAAGCAGTCCTAAAACTCCCATACCGAGTACTGGAAATATGTAAGGTTGGTCCCAAAGCGCATGGTTTTGGTGTCCCATGGCACATTGGGAACTGCTGACACCTTGGGACTGGAAATATCTCGTGCCCGAGAATCAACAACTGGTCTTGGCATTTCCATTGGTTACTCGAATCAAAATTCGGAAGAATGGTTGGCATTTTGATCCATCAATATTTTTTCTCCGGCTTAACCCATGATGCCCGTGATGTTAGTGGAGTTTTCGCCTTCACCAGCCTGAATTTCGGCTCAGGGTTTGGGGACTGAGCACCTAAAAAACCTGCGACTCTGATTTTCAAGGTAGTGCACCGAGTAGTTTGGTTATCGCCAGTTGCCAGGTAGGACAGGGATGGATTTCGGGATGGATTTCGGGGCATGATGGGCTGCAATGTTGAGCGGCTCAAGGGCCTTGTTGAGTTGAAATTGGGTGGAAGGCACGCGCCCTGAAATGATTTGGACCCATGAAAATCTTCCAGTTTCCGAGAGTTGATTTCCATTTTTTAAATGATATTTTTGCTTGGCCAGGAATCAACATCTAGATCCAATGGTCCATCATTTCTTTAAAAAAAACATACCATTTCAGGGCTGCACCGCTATACCATGGTATACCCCATTCCTGGACTAGCTCATTCCAGCCTCCACCAGGTTGATGATGATGATGCCTCGGGTACGCTTTCATCGGACATTTATTGCCATCGTTGTGGCCTGGTTTCTGACAGAGGGCAGACTTTTGGGAGCTTCCTTTATAAGTGGTACCCAAGCCTAGTCTAGCTTCACAATCAGAGTTGGATGAGTTGGTCGTTGAAAAATAGTCATGATGTTGGGCACATAAAGCACAGTTTTGGCGTGCTTTGCATCGCCCAAAGAACAAAAAAAGTAAATCAGAATCCCAGTTTGTAAATTTGGCATGTCATTCTTGGCATCACTATTGGAGATAATTCTAAGCGAACACTTGTTAGGGAGTCAACAAATGGAGGGCAGTTTGATGCAATTTGCATGAATGTTGCATGAATTCAACATATTTGAATGTGGATTTTACAAGATGATCTATGACTGAATATCCGATTCGATCCGGAGTATGATGTGGTATAAGATGACGGAAACTCCCGGAATTGTATCTTGAATATCTGGAAAGATTCAGGCAGGGTCTGTGTATTTTTTCATCTATAAAATGACCCACCTAGAGATGCTACTGGGCCCAGCAGATAGTGCCGGCCACTAAAAATTGAAGGGATCATATGCTGCCAACGGGCTCTTGATATGTTATGATGGGGGTGGTGAAGATGACCAAAGCTGGTCATATCCCAAAAAGGCTGCTTAGCCTAGCTGCTATAGCTACCTTACGGTAATCAAACATGTCAATGGGAATTCCCCTATGTATCCCTGTGATTCCCTGTGTATATATCTAATTACAGAAAGGCTTCTTGCCAGCGCAGAAATCACCAATTTTTTTTTATATATATATATATTGTTTTTGTCAATATATTACATGATCTGAAGTAATATTGTTTTTTGTTGTCCATGCACAAGCCTTTTCAATTAATTAGAAATACAGAAAGGCTTGTTGTGGGCGCGCCAAAGGCATTTTTTCCCCAAATACATTACATGATCCAAAACAATATTGGCCTTTTGCTGTCCATACACAAGCTTTTTCTAGTGGAAATAGAGCTTTAGAGTGGTAAACCAAAACAAACACACCAAAAAAAAGCTTTGGGGACTGCTTAGATTTAGGCATGTTCAGACTAGTCTGGAAAACAGTGTTTTTTTGTTCGTGTTGTTTGGTTTATTTTTATTTTTTTTGTTTCTTTGGGTTTTTGATTCCTTAGGATTAATCCAGATTAATCCAAATCAAATCTGATTCATCTTGCCCCCAAGGCATTCTTGTCAAGTCATTATTTAAAAAAAAATATTGTATGCTAAACATGCGCAATCACCAAATTTTTGCTAACAGACTCCGCAACCATAACAGAATTCGAACAAAACCAAGTTTGGCTGATCCCCACAAATCTCATGTTTTCAAGAACATGTTGTTTGTAGTTTTTTTCATTTCATCGGACATACCGGTGGGGCTAGAGTGCTGACGTTGGCTTGTGCCTGGGCAGCGACAGCAACAAGCCGGAATCGTCAACCACCTTCTTGTCAGCTGCTGTCTACAGGCGGGCCAGGGCTAGCTTCATAGCAGGTGTGCAAATCCATAGCTACACTGTGGAAATAGAGGGGTTGCAGCCTTTCAGTGCGCGGTTTAGTCAGAGAAGGAACCAAAACAAACAAGCAAGCAAACAAACAAACAAACGCATGCTTGCATTCGCACACAGGGTTCTTTGGAACGCTTCCTGACCCATGCTGAAAACACAATGCGCTAGGTATAATATGTTAGCAACTAGCAAGGCGCAGGGGTTGTCAAGCCTTTGTTGAGGCAGTCACCATATGCAATTGTTCAATTCGAGTAGCAGGCGTTGTGAAATGGTGGCGGCAGAAGATGTGGTGTCATCGCCGAGGCGCATTTAAGCGTGGCACCGCGTAGTCTAGTGGTTGTGTTTGGCCTCTTTTGCTGTGTGGCTGCAATGAGCTCTACCTTGTCTCATCAGCATGGTCCAGGATCACCATGCGCCCAGCCTTTTTGAGTACAATTTACGACCATTAAATTTTCGTAGCCCACCATGGCTCTCCATCTCCTAACGGGTATTTGAAGGCATGGGCTCCAAGGGCTTATTTGATAGCCGCCAGTTGTGTGCCAGCAGGCTTGGTGCAGCGGTGGTAAGAAGGCGGCAGGAAGCCAGACAAGGCGAGACGGTCATGCACAAGATGCCATGAGCTGTTTCATGAGAGCTTGCTTCTATCAATTCTTGTTTTACCGGCATGCTGGTGCAGAGTTTCATCGGCTTGCCGGTGCGAAGGGCTATTTTCACTTGCAGATAAGCGTGGATGCGGGGATCATTGTGATTGAGCAGTTACAAGGTGCATCTGCGAGCCAGGGATGCAAACTACTTACCCTTTCAAGTTGCTGGCAGCAATTTATCCCTCAAGCCTTCAAGCCTCTCATGGCATGGCGCAGCGGCCAGTCTGTGCCACTGATTTCAGATCTCCCTGACTTTGCGATCGGCCTCGCCCACAGTCAAGTTCACAACGAAGAACTGGATTCTGTGGAAAGGGAAAAGTTTGCAGTGTTGAAAAAGAACATTGCTTCGCATCAGTGTCTGCTCAAAGATGACATGGTTCCAGATGGAGATTGCGGCCTCCGTGCTATTGTAGAAAATGCGCCAAGGCTTAACTTGTCAGACCCGTTCGCACTCAAGGTCCTGGCGCAGTTGAAACAAAATGGAATTGGTGATGCCTGCAAATTGCTCCGTTTGAAGCTGTGCCCGCGGCTAAAGCAAAATGCTGCTCGGGAAATTGTGCCGGATGTGACTATTCTGGATTGGGTTCAACTCCCCATCGACGAGTACATCTTACTTATGCAAAAGGACAAGCAGTGGCTGGACACGCCCATGCTTTCTGCTGCTAGCGCTGTCTTGGGCATCCAAATCATGTTTTTTTTGCAGCCTGAAGGCGTGCAGCTTTTGGCTGCTAGCGGGGTGCAAGAACAGGGCAAGGCGCCAGTGGCAATTCTGGCCAGGGCTGGTAAGTTCCTGTACTCTGTTCACCCAGCCCCCGATGAGCTTGAAAGCAGGGTGGCATCTCGTGACGCTCTCCACGATGCATGTCAGGCAGTTGCTTCTTCTCAGTCGGTTCATGATGATGCTGAGCCTGAAGCCTTGTCTGAATCTAATGGAGAGGATGAAGAGGTTCTTCTCCAGAACTCACGCCCAAAGCTCTTCGAGATGTGTGCTGCGCTCCTACACTGGGATCCCTTTCAAAATAGAGAAACGGATGACCACCTGCTTTGGTGCGTCAAGCTGATACGTCACAACCAGAAGATCCGTCAGATCAAACTCTTGAAATCCTGCAGTGGCGTAGTGCGGTGAAACTCATACAGCATGAAGAGGCTGAACAAAAAGCTGGGATTGACAGACAACATTTGAACCTAGGAAAAGCTTACCTGGTGGAGAAGGCTCACAGGCAGAAGAAGTCCAGCATGTTCACCAAGTCGCGCTTGTGCTACAAGCTCTTCCTCCCAGGTATTTCAAAGCACTTGCCTCCCCATGCCACAAGCATGGCAAAGAGCACACTTGTTTGAATGCATTTCGCTCTCAACCTGGGCTGGTGCTGCGATGGAGAAAGATGTGGTTTGCCTTGCCAAAAGAAGATAGAGATGAACGCATGCGACGGATGTGTGCAGAAGCCCGGCAGAAGCATCAAGATGGAGGAGATGATGATGACACCTTTAAAATGCAATTTCAAGTTTTTGGCGTCAAGCTTTGCCGTGATGCTTTCATTAGAATTATTGGGATGCATGCTGACACATTGCAGCGTGCCCGGAAGGCAGCCATGGGAGGGCTTGCGCTTGCTTCTTCGGCAGGAGTCTGGCGTGAGCGCCGTGCTGTCTCCTACCTTGCTTGCCGGGCTTGGCTGCTGAACTATGCCCAGGAGCATGCTGACTCCAGCCCATTGAACAACAAGCTCTAGCTACCCTATGCCCGGAAGTACGTGTTTTGGTCCGCTTACTGGCATGAGGAAACATCAGCAGGTAAGGATCCTTCACAGATTGCCCAGCTGTCTCATTTCTTGAAGATGTGGAGGACGGAGCTGCCGTGGATTAAGATTCGGCCCACCTCAGGTCCTTTCACCCACTGTGGCTTGTGTGACTTTCTGAAGATACTGATCACCTCTGCCACTGACAAAGCCTTGAAGAATGAACTCAACCTGCGGCTTGGCGAGCATTTTCAATTCCAGGGAGCACAGAGGGTAGCAATGAGCAACATCTTCAGGGAAAGTGAAGATGACCCAGATGACCTTCTTGCAGTGTCTTGGGACAAAATGGACCAAGCCAAGACGATTGTGCCTCGCATTGCCCCGCTGTCTAGCACACAGTTTGTCAAAGGTGGAAGCCGCCTAGTCGTGTCTCTGATTGTTGTGCTGGCGCCTTGTCTGTGCAGATCGCCTTTGATCTACACAATACTTGAAGATCAAGTTCACGGCTCCGACATGATTGCCAGTCTCATGGTAGATGTTGTGCAGGAAGCAGTGAAAACCAGAGGAGTGATCCCGAGAAGATTATTTTTTCAAGCTGATAACACAAGGGAAGAGACGAAGAATACGATTTGCCTGTTTGCCGCTTGCTGGCTGATGATTCATTTGCGTGGCACGCGCCTCCAAAGAATTGAATTTGGATACCTGGTTGTTGGTCATACGCATGACCTAGTGGATGCGACGTTTGCATACATCAGTAAAGCCCTGGTTGCGAAGAGCTTTCTCAGCCTACCACACATCTGGAAGCACCTTCGGGACATCTACAAGGAGTGCCAGCCGCCTGAACTGTCCAGCCAGCGTGTGAAGGGGATTTCTCAGCCCAATCACGTGCGTTTGTTTTGGTCCCAGGACGGGAGCAAGATCATTGCGCAAAGCCGGCATTGGCTTACTTCAAGTGACTGGAGTGAGCCGCTGGTTTTGCTTGACCAGAGCCAAGTGATGAAGGTCTCCTACCTGTGGCCTGGCATCATGCAGCCACATTGTGATGAATCTTTCCAATCGTCTTCCTTGGCCTGGTTTGAGAAGCTTCGAGGGTTGCTTCATGAATCCGGACACAACATAGATGGCATTGATCATTGCATCCGGCTTCTCAAACACGAAGACGTGTCTTTCTTGCCTTCTGGCCTCTCCTTGTCTGACAGAATTGCTCAAATTCTTCAAAGTAGCGCGTCTGGGAAAAAGGTTTTTCCGAAATTTGGAGACATGGGTTTGTCAGACGGTCTCCGCGCGGCAATGAGTGCTGCTTTCCCTGGTTCGTCAGGCCACTGCCGCTCTGGCACAACAGGGTTACTACAGATAGGCGGCGCCAGGTCTGCTGGTGATAGCGGATTTTGCCAAGATGAGCTGGAAACGGATATGCTACTCCTTTTTCGAAATCATGTGAAGCAGGGACCTTTTCGCTCAGACATCCTTCCTTTTGGGCTTGGCAAAGTCTTCCGTATCTCCAGCCAGGGAAAACCCTAGCAACCCATGTGTCTTTCTGGAGCGGTGGCTCCGAGTACCAAAAGCAAAGTATGACGAAGCAAACAGTTCGGGAAGTGGCAGCCAGATGATGGAGCAGCCGCCGCGAGGCGAAGAGCAGGTGATTTGAAGTTGCTTGCCATCAGCCTGGAAGACTGCTTGGCTTGGCCGGTTGATCTTGAGACAAAGGGCGGAAATGAGATTGGCAAAATTCCGTTACCAATTTTCCATTTTCTGCGGGAGGCAGGACACATGGATGTGTCTTCGAAGAGGTATACCTTTTCTAAGCGAGGCAAAGCTTTCTTCTTGCAAGTCGCTAAGCGAACTGCACAGTACCTGAGGGATGCAGATGTTCGACAGGAAAATCCAAGCACGCATACATTTGTTAAAATTCATGTATCACAATCCTGGGCAATTCATTGGTTCACTCAAAAGCCACATGGCTTGCGCTGGTGGTAAAAGCTAGCAATTATTTTCGGAATTTGTTTTCGGCATGCCCCAACACAATAGAGGAGGCCCCAAACCTCACCCGCTCTTTTTTGCTTTGTGGTAATGCAGGCGTGCCCAATTGCGCCGCAGTCGGGTCCTTGGAGGCGCGGAAGACTCAACTGACTGATTGTAGAACCTGGTGCATGGTGGTAGAGCATACTAGACTGATCGGCTGCGCCACTGAAGTTTAACTAGTACAGTGGGAGGCCAATGACCATACTTGATGCTTGGCACACTTCGGCATGTCCAGGCTCAAACCGCACCATATTTGGACAGACAGTTGCGCAACGTCCCTCCGCGTGACGCGCATGGCGCTTCAGTCTTCTTGGCGAAAGGGGCGCTCCTTTGAAGCTGAGCATTTCGGCCCGCAACAGGTTCATTAAATCATTTTTTGTTTGGTGCAAGCTCGTGTGACATGCCTGGCCTTCCCGCAGAACATTGACACGAAAGTCCTTTATATATGTGCAGCTTCTCAACATGAGACAGTGTGGATGCCTCTAAATCATTTACTGTAAGACTGTTCACCTCCTTATAAGGAAGATTTCCCGCTCATGGGAACAGGTTTGCAAAGCTTTCACATGCTTTTACGACTTCGATTTAGTTTGTTTGGTGCCTTGCAATGAGAATTAGATTGCTGCCTTTGGGGCCACACCAGATCAGATGCAGCCCTTTGGTCATGGCTTCGATAATTTCACAAAAGCAGTTGGTGGTAATCAAGTTCCAAACCTTCCGCCATTCGAACATATATAATCTCTATCCATCTGAGGACTTGGAAGAAGAACCGGGAGGTGGCAAAGTACTTGCGGCACCAGGCTTGGGCAGATGCGAAGCCTGGCGTCACGCCAGACATCGTCAAGAAAAAAGCAGACAAAAGGAAACAGCAGAGGGAAAGGGCTTCGGCCAAAAGTGCAGCTGCATCAGCAGCTTCAGGCACCGCCGTGTCTGCAGACTCTGCAATTCCACCGCCGCCACCGCCCCCATCCTCGTGGGACAATGTGACAGTTCCGCCGCCACCTCCTGATGAAGAGCCACGCTCTAGCGACCGTCCTCTTGAGGGGCTGAAGATCTTGGTCAAAGTATATGGAGTGAAGCCCATTTCAAATGGCCGGATAGGTTCGATAGATTTCTGGACAGATTGCGCTGGCTTTGGTGACCTGCAAAAGGACGCCCGGCTTCAAGAGCACGTTGGCTTACATGAAGAAATCATAGAAATGGTCACCTGTCACCAGGACATGGAAGACATACTGGCCAAGCTGGCGGAGTTTCTGAGTTCATGCAGCCCTGCAGCCAGCGTGACCGTGGGCACTTTTTGCAAAGCAAAGGGTCAAGAAAGTGTCGCTGTCAGCTCGTTGTTGTCACAGGCGATGTTTTGTCTTGGAGCTGATGTGAGGAGTGTGTACGCTGAGAGGAAAGGCTTTTTTGGCCTGTGCGCCACATGTACAAGATGCATGCCGACCCAAAGGAAGGCGGACTTGGCTATCGAAATCTCTGACCGCTTGTTGGCTAGCGAGGCCACGATCCGGATCTCGGAGTAGGGCATTATCGAGCATCGACTTATAAAAAGAAGCGGAACCAATGAGGGCATTCTTTAAGGATGTTCCGTGCTTATCTGCATCCAATGTTGTTATCCCGAGCCAGTCATCAATTAAATTTTCATATTCAAACCAACTAGATTGGCCATCAAATTGGGGTGGTACCTTTGAAGTCATTTTGATGCCCATCCGGTTTTCGGAATGACTGGCAGCGGCATATGCTGCAGGCTCTTCATAAGCAACCATTTGGACTTGTTCTTCATCTGAATCCATGTTATGGATTCAGACGGGCAGCTACTCTAACTTGACCTACAAGTTGCCTTCGCAAGTCCGATATACGGAGCGTGTGCAAAGAACAACAGTTCAGCACGCGGATTCGGAGCTTGACGAAGGCACAGGCTCCGCTACCACTTTGAGGTAGCTATCCCCGTATTGAGGGAGCCCTGGATCCTAAAGTAACCCTTGTGGTCAACAGCGCAAGCTGCACTCTTTTCTACGTGGAAATGCAGTAGTCTTGAGCCAGCGAAGTGGCGCAGTGGAAATGATGAATTATGTGAACATGTCATGTACTACATGCAAACTGTCATGCATGCATTGTATAGACACGTCCCCAAAAGTGGTTTACATGGGGGGGTGTAATAACGTCATGTGGACTGCGTTGGATTGAGACTTGTTGAAACCTTGAGGATGTTGCTTCGTTGAAGATGTTGTTCCGTTGCAAGTATCGTTGTTGTTTACAGAAGGAGGTGGGGGGGTGGGGAGGGTGTAATAACGTCATGTGGAGCGCGTTGGGTTGAGAGTTGTTGAAACCTTGAGGATGTAGCTTCGTTGAAGCTGTTGTTACTGCGACTGCACCGTGAGAAGACCAATGGTGCTCTCGCTCCAAGCAACTGCTTCAAAAAGCCTTTGTGGACGTGAAAATGAAAAAGGTGTCGTGATATTAATTTCGTCCATGGTCCTCCAGTGAATTATGACATTTTCTAGTTGTCAACAAAACGACCAAAAATGCATGAAACCGCAATTCCAGTGGTTTCGATGTTGCACACATGTTTGGCCATCCATGGAAGATGTAAATTTATCATTTTTCTGCACGGACAAACGTCAAGGTTATCCGCGCCGACATTGCAACTTTTACTGATCGAACAATTTGAGAGAGGAGCAAAAAACACTGTAAAACACCTTGTAAAATCAACATTTTCCAAATCCATACAAATAAAATGCAATTGGCTTCCGGGGAACCCCCAGCCTTCACCCTATATATATATATGTATGTATATGTAAAAATTTATATATATAATAATAATAACTATAATATATAATAATTAGGAGTTGATAGGAAAATGAACTATGCCGATGGGTTTTCCAGCTGGCCATGTTCGACTTCTTGGGTATCTCCAGTTCCGCGTCCGTTTCGTTAAGCTTCAGCCAGGATAACCGCCAGCGCCAGAGTCGAGCATCCAGACACTTGAAGCTGAAATGATCCGGAGATATCCAGACAGGCTATCACAAGCTACCAAAGTGGTCGCTTTTTGAAATAGAAAAATATAGAAAAACTGAATGGATACCATGGTCGAATGATCACTTGTATAGGTATTTTTGATAGAAAAATATAGAAAAACTGAACGGATACCATGGTTGAATGATCACTTGTATAGGTATTTTTGTTGATTCTAATCATTGATGTTTGGGTCTAAATTTAAACACCAGAGGGATCACTCGGATCATGAGCACAGCAATTGTAACCACCGCAGACAATCGGATCGACTGCTGGCAGCGGTACATTTTTTGTCACAGATGTCAGACGATTCTTCATGTATTGGTGTGTTATTGGATGTCGAGAGTGTGTTATTTTGCGGCAAATAGGTCAAATAATACAAATATAATCAAATATGCAATAGAACCCAATGATTGTTTGTCCTTATGGCATCACAAAGACTACATCACAATTATGAGTTAGCTTCCAGATCATGATCTGGTCAAGAGGTATGGTTCTGGTCATCTCCGCAAGCATTGCTTCCGCAGAAGCTCCGGGGAAGGGGTTCATTGAAATATCGGAGCAGGCTCCATCAAATGGTCCACAATAGTTGAAATCTAAACGTCCGCAGTACCCGTGGTGTTGGTATGTGTTTGTGAAACTGGCCGAAAACACAAATTGCAAAGTACGGAAGATGCTGTAGGGTTCGGTTTACCACTAGGAGAAACTGTATTCGCAGGCCTGCGGAAAGGATAGATCAACATCTACCGAAGGAAAATATGTTTTTTTGTGGCTTTGGTGCTGGCCACAGCGGAAGCTCTTGGGTGGAGGTTGTTTTTTCCATCTTGAGGAGATGTGTCGGTCTCCATGGACATCCACCATGGTCGACGGTCCGAGGCGAACCACCTGGACCGCCTGGCCGCTTGCGACCTACCGATAAAGAGATGGAGAGACGGGAACGTGTATTACGCCGCTGCTAAGCAACGACTGTTGAAAAATTGGTCAGAATGATCATGGGTCCACTGGTTGGTGGTTTGGAACATTTTGTTTTTCCATATATTGGAAATAATCATCCCAACTGATTAATATTTTTCAGAGGGGTTGAAACCACCAACCAGGTCCATGTACTTCTCAAAACCATCCCTGAAGGGATGTCAATTGGAATCAGCTTCGAACATGAATTAGCTCAGAATGCAAGGCCGCCAGATTTCCCTCCAAATTTTCAGGATGGGCCAGATTTGTGGCTGAAACTTGTTTTTGATATTTCGCAGCTTTCTTCAACTTGGTGCCGTTTGGCTGAGGCTATGCGGCCGCTTTAGAACAACGCGCAGCACTCTTGCGTCAGCCCAATAACGCCACTCGAACCGCAGATCTTGGCGGATATCAGCAGAGGACTCATCCTTGCCACTCTCTTAAGATGGTGTCATATTCCCTGAAGTACATTTTGAATAACTTGAAGCGCGTTGTTTCCCGGTGCACGTTTGGCTCTGGTGGTCATGGCGATTCTG